AATACTGCAGGGTCACCTTCAGGGATGGAGCCCGCCCACCTGAGCCCACACCTGCACACATGCCCCCCCCCCAAATACTGCAGGGTCACCTTCACGGATGGAGCCCACCCACCTGAGCCCACACCTGCACACAAGCGCCTTACTGCCCTGATATTGCAGGGTCACCTTCAGGGATGGAGCCCGCCCACCTGAGCCCACACCTGCACACATGCCCCCCCCAAATACTGCAGGGTCACCTTCAGGGATGGAGCTCCACCCAGCTGAGCCCACACCTGTGACACAGTCTCTAGCGCCCCCGATACTGTAAGGGACGGGGTGCTGCCAGCTGAGCCCACACCTAGACACACCCTCTGCCCGACACTGCAGGGTGCTAGGCCTGGCCCCCTCTGCCCCAGCAGGGATCATGGCAAATGTTACCCGTGTGCCCGATGTTGTGAGCACCCTGGAAGATTGATGACGTGGCTGCAAGGGCCACCAGAAAGACATGTCTCTGGGAAGCAGGCAGCAGACAACAGGTCCCTGGGTGCCCCCACCCGGGGCTCCAGCGGCCGGCCCCCTGCATTCTCCTCTCAGGCCCGTGTGCCCCTTCTCCTCCCAGGGCTCTGACAGGTCACACCCCCACCCCGTTCTCACCTTGACAAAGATCTCCGGCCAGTTCTCGTCCTCTTCGTAGGCAGCCATGAGCAGGTTGCAGGCCAGCACGGAGACCAGGCTATTCCCCTTGGCTTTGAAGTTGACGGAGGCGTCCCGACGCAGGAGGCTACACAGTGCCTGGGTGAGAAGGGCTCATGTCTCCCAGGGAGCAGAGGTGCCCGTCTCCCCCTGCCCCACAGGCCCGTCGGCACAGCTCCGGGGGCCGTGGCTGCACTCACCTCGATGACACCCTCTGTGGCGAAGATGTTGGGCTTGACCTTGGCCAGGTACATGAGGCTGAGGTACAGCGTGCTGTCGGGCTTGGCCCGGGTGAGCCGCAGCTGCTTGGCGGCCCCGCACAGCACACCCTCGACACGGCCATCATTGCCCTCAAGCTCGGCAGCCTCGATCTCATCTAGCAGCACTGTGGGCAGGACTGACAGGTGCCACGCTCCGGTCAGAGTGGACACAGGGACCGAGACAGCCCCAGCCCCAAAGCCTCAGCAAGCAGGAGGGTCAGGTGCTCCCAGCCGCCAACAGGCTGCCGTCTCCCCAGGTAGTTTCCCCGCCAGGGGCGACAGCCGCAACACCTCTCTGGCCGACACAGGCAAACATCACGTCTCATCCGAGGGGCCCTGGGCAGCATGTGGGGGATGTGCTTGGTCGCTACCCACCCACCAGCACTCGGAAGAAAAGCCCAGGACCTGCTTCTGAAAAGTGCGGCCCTGAAAGCCCTGGGCGCACAGTGCTGCTCGGACCCCGTGGGGGCACTGAGTCAGTCGACGTGACGGCAACCAGCTGGCCCACACGTTTTCCCAAAGGACGCAGGACCCATGGGGTGTGGAGCCCCTGGGGGACTGACCGGCGTGGCTGCCGGGAGGTACTGACTTTACCTTCGATCGGCACCACGGACGGCTCCTTAATCGAGGGAGAAATAGCTCGCTTTTCTGCCACTGCAGCCTCAGCCAGGCGCCCCAGGGCACTCAGTGGGGGTGTGGATGAGAGTTTGGGGCGTTTGGTGAGGCCGGTCAGCGCCGAGGCACCTGATAACGCAGCCGCGGCATCCCGCTTGCGCTCAGAAGGTAGGCCAGGGGGTGCCGGCTTCAGCAGGGTAGATGCCGTTTTTGACTCACTGGCCTGTCCCTTTGAGCCCAGGGCAATGAAATCCCCTGGTGGAGGGTGTCCTGCAGAGAAAACAGAGACGGTGGCACGCTTACACAGCGCCCCAGGTAGAAAGAGGCGGGACCCAGTCTCCTGTCATCCCAGAGAGGACCGGACAGGGAGGGGCCCGAGAAGGCATGAAACCAGCCGAGGGCCATAGCAGAGCTGCTGCGATGTCGGGTCACAGCAACGGTGTTCACTGCACAGCAGGCCCAAATCAGTCAGAAGAGTCAGGTCATCGAATCTTCAACATGTTTCTGAAACAGGCACCAAAGCCACTGACGGAAGCTAAAAGATACGAGAACTGACGAGAGCGCCTGTGTTAGGAGGACCTGGTGGCACAAACGGTTAAACCTTGACCACTGGCCAAAGGCTGATAGTTCGAACCCAGCTGGAGATGCCCCACAAGAAAGGCCTGGCCACCTGCTCGAGAAGCCTACTGAGTGCCGCCCTCCTGTGCACGGAGTCGACTCGAAGGCCAGGAACACCTCTTCTTTGACAGCCGAGAAGAACGGGGCACAGAGAGGTTAAGTAACAGGCCCGGTGCGGCACAGCTAGTGAGTGGCGAGGATGCGAGCCCAGGGAGCCTGCATGCACACCCTGCTCAAGGCTGCCGCCTGCCTCCAGCAAAGCAGGACGTCATACCCAGGCCCCCGGAGGCTGCGGCAGCTGGGCCGACTCTCCAGGGCTTCTCAGGGCCCAGGACTGAGGGCTGCCACTGTTCCTTGTTCTTGGTCGCTGCCACCCACGCAGCTGCACACACACCACGGCGACCCCGCTCTCGGTCGGAGCGCTGCTGACGTCCCTGGAGCCGGACACATGCTCCCCCTCCCCCTCCCAGGTGTCCTCCCAGCCCCTCCATTAACGTAAGCTCGCCCCCCACCCCTGAACTTCCGGCCCGACCTTTCAGAAGGCTGGGCGCACGAGGACCTCAGAGCCCTTGGAACTCACACGTGTTGCTGTCGGACACGTTTGACACCGCCCGTGGGCTGCGCAGTGACGCTGACCCGGCTTCAGGTCGTGCGCCAGGCGCACCCTGTGCTCCTGGGTAACCCTCCGTCAACCCAGCACCCCCTAAGGCTCCCGGCTCCCCTTCCAGGCTGCTGTCGCCAATCTGATCCCACGTCCCTTTCTGCTGCTGTCGCCTAAATAACTGACTTTATCTTCGTTCCCGAAGGCTCACTGCAACCCGCACGCCAACGCTGCCGCGTCTACACGGACCACTCGGGGACCCGGCTCCCCGCCCTCCTCTCCGAATGGTTCCTCCCCCGGGACACAAGCCCACCGCCCCCCGAGCTTCCCACCCGACCTCTCGCGTGGCGCTCGTCAATCGACTCGCCCAGCCCCGACCCCTGAAAGCGGCCTCCGCTGCAGCGCAGCCCCGGAGAAGCCACTCGCCTGAAGGCTTGGCTGCAGCGCTCGGCCTCCGGACCGTGGCGGTCTTGGCCCGGTTCATCCTGTCCCCAGCCACTCGCTCCTCCGAGCCGCTCGGTGTCACCTGCGGGGAGAACGAGCGCGCGCTCAGTCATTCATTCGCGCGCGCGTGCACTCGTTCCCCTACCGCCCAGAGCGTGGGCGCCGGGGGACGACGGCGAGGGGACCCGGGAAGGGCTCAGGCAGGCTCCGCACTGAGGTTGACAGGGTGCAGCGGTGGCGGAGGACTGCGGAGAACTGGCCGGAAGGACGCGCGCCTCTCGGGAGGATAGCAGAGCTGGGAACGGCCCCAGACTCACCTCCCGCCCATCGCCCCTCAGACCCGGCCGCCCCGGAGCTGGAAACAGATCTCCCCGCCCTCGGTCCGTCCACTTCCGGAGCAACCGGAAGCAAAACTGCGCTGCGTGAGGCGGGTGGGAGTGAGAGGCGAGAGAAGGCACGCGGCGCCTGCGCTGTGTCTGTAGCGCCCTCTGACTGAGGGGAGGGGTTTGGACATTGCATCCTCTCGCGCTTTCGGTGATTGGGCGGCACCACGCGTATAACCCAACCCATCCAAACCCATAGACTGCAAGTTGATTCCGAGTCACAGCGACCGTAAGGGCCTGCTACTTTTGGCTCCCGCGGAGCAGCTGGTGGGTTCAACAGCATATCTTTCTTTTGGTTAGCAGTGAGCGCTTAACCACTGCACCACCAGGACTCCCGTATACTACTCACCAGGTATATATCATTACGTTTAAATTTGTCAGCCATTTTATATGTAAGTATCATTATCCGTGACGGTATAAGGAGCCCCCGTGTTGCAATGCTTAAGTGCTAGGCTGCTAACCAAAAGGTTTGTGGTTCCAACGCACCAGCCGCTCAGCCAGACAAAAGGCCTAGCAGGATGGCAGCCTGCAAAACCCTATGGGCAGCTCTAGCCTGTCACAGTGGCCACCAAGAGTCAGAAAGGAGTCAACAGCACCCACCAACAGCAGTGTGGTCACACAGCTCACGGGGAGTCCACGATACAGAGGAGACCTCCCCCAGAGGGTTTTCTCGATTGCAACCTTCGTGAGCACAGATTGCCAGCCTTCCTTCCGTGGCAACACTGGACGGGTTTGAACCACCAGCCTTCCGGTTAGCAGCTGACTGCAAACTGCTTGCACCACCCAAGTTCCTTACAATGACCTATCCTGTTGTTGTTAGGTGTCATCAAGCCAGCTCCAACTCATAGTGACCCTGTGCACAACAGAACAAAACACTGCCTGGTCCTGCTCCAGCCCCGTGATCCTTGCTACACCTGAGCCCACGGTCACAGCCATGTGTCAGTCCATCTCATGTGTCAATCCATCTTGTTGAGGCCTTCCCCTTGTTCTCTGATGCTCCCCTTTACCAAGCATGAGATCCTTTTCCAGGGAATGGTCCCTTCTTACAACATGACCAAAGTAGGTGAGACTACTCTGGCCACTCTCGCTTCCAAGGGGCACTCCGGCTGCCCTTCCTCCAGGATGGATTTGTTAGCTCTTCTGGCGGTCCATAGTACTTCCAATATGCTTTGCCAACACAACTCAAAAGCATCAGCTTTTCCAGTAGGCAATTCCTTAAGAAGCTAGAATTAGAAATACCATTTGACCCAACAATCCCATTCCTAGGTATACATCCTAAAGAAGTGAGAGCCAGGGCAAGAACAGACATATGCACACCCATGTTCTTCGCTGCACACCCACGTTTCGTTCTGCTGTGCATGGGGTCGCTGAGTCAGAAACAACTCAATGGCAGCTAACAAGAACAACAACATGTTCATTGCAGCACTATTTACAGTAGCAAAAAGACGGAAACAACCTAGGTGTCCATCAACTGAAAAATGGATAACCAAACTATGCTACATACACACAATGGAATACTATGCAATCCTAAAAAATAATGTAGAATCTGCAAAACACCACATAACGTGGATGAACTTGGAGGACATTATGCTTAGTGAAATAAGTCAATCACAGAAGGACAAATATTAGTTAATTATTGTAAAAATCAAGGAAAGGTTTATGCATGGAAGGAAACCAGGTTACCAGGGGTGGGAGGGGAGAGGAGGGGAGGGAACACTGCAAAAAAAAAATTCATTGACCCTTGTCACTTTAGTTTTGTGTATTTCACTGTAAATAAATTTTATATACACACACACACACACACATATATGTATATTTTAAAAGCATCAACTCTTCTTTGGTCTTCCTTATTCATTGTCCAGTTTTCATATGCATATGAGGTGACTGAGAAACACCATGGCTTGGGTTAGGTGTGCCTTAGTCTTTAAAGAGACATCTTTGCTCTTCAGCACTTTAAAGAGATCTTTTGCAGCAGATTTACCCAGCACAATATGTCGTCTGATATCCTGACCGCTCCTTCCATGGCTGTTGACTGTGGATCCAAATAATATGAAATCTTTGACAACTTCAATCTTTTCTCCATTTATCGTGATGCTACTTACTGGTTCAGTTGTGAGGATTTTCGTTTTGTTTATGTTGAGGTGTAATCATACTGCAGTCTTTAATCTTTATCGGTAAGTGCTTCAAGTCATCTTCACTTTCAGCAAGCAAGGTTATGATATATACCAAACCCCAAAGTCCAAACCCACTGCCTTGAGTCGATTCTGACCCACAGCGCCCCTAGAGGACAGAGTGGAACTGCCCACAGGGTCTCCAAGGCCGTTGATCTTCACAGAAGCCAACTGCCTCACCTTTCTTCCACGGAGTGGCTGGTGGGCTTGAACCACCGATCTTTGGGGTAGCAGTTGAGCACTGGCCACGAGAGCTCCTGTTGAATTTTACATGCATACGCACACAGACAGACCACCACTCACACATACATCTGTGTCATTGCGTCGAAACCTGTCACTACATTGTTTGCTGTTTGCTGCCCTGGGATCTGACCCACGGAGCCTTCACGGATGACACAATAAAATGTTGCCTGGCCCGTGCCGTCTTCAGAGAGCTGGCCTGCTCAAGCCCACAGCCGTAGCCCCTGTGTCCCGAACGCCTTCCAGCCCAGGGGCTCACCTTCCAGCACTAGTTGGACGGTGTTCTGCCGTGACCCTGAGGGTTTTCACTGGCTGCTTTTGGGGAGTAGATCACCAGGGCTTCTCCCTCGTCTGTTTTCGTCTGGAAACTGCTGAAACCTGCCCACATGTGTGACCTCACTGGCATTTGAAACCCCAGGGCCACAGTCTCCAGCCTCACAACCACATGCAGCCACCACAGAATGACAAAGCAGCAGACGGGTGGAAGAGAAATAAGTGGTCAAGTCATCAAATACCACATTGCACTGGGTAAATCTGCTATAAAAAGACACTACAGAGTTTCAAGAAGCAAAGATGTCACTTTGAAGACCAAGCTGCGGCCTTTTCAACCCCCTCGTGTGCGTGCGAGAGCTGGACCACGAGGCGGAGGTAGAGGACTGAGGCCTCTGCGCTGTGGTGCCGGGGAAGGGTCACCGTGGATGCTGAGTGAACGAATGCACCTGAGGAAGCACACCCAGAGTGGCAGCCGCAGCTCGCTCACTGCAGACACGTCATCAGGAAACGTCGGCTGGGGAGGAACCCCGTGGCTGGAGAAGCGGACGGTCAGCAAACACGAGGGACACGCTCCGAGAGGTGGACAGAGAGCCACGAGGCACTTGGACGCGCCATTTTCACAAAGACGGTGCACAGCAGGTGACTCTCGTTCTGATTGGACGTACGGTCGCCAGGGGCTGGAGCCGCCTCCGCAGCATCTGCCAACGATGACGGTGGCAGTTCCAGTCCCCTTGTTCACTGTCCTGCCCCTGCCCGATGGTGACCTGGCCCAGCCAGGCCCTGCGGGGTGCCCTGTGCTCAGGAAGGGGCGGTGGGGTGAAGGAGGAATTTGTAGGAAGCGCCTGGCCAGGGGAAGGCCCAGCGTGTGGACACTAGCCCCACAGGGGTGCAGCCAGACAGGGCCAGCCTGGGCCCGCGGCCTCCTGGGTCCTCTCCGCTGTGACCCAGAGCCAGCGTGGGTCAGACAAGCGTCAGCTGACCATCACCGGGCAGTCCAGCCCACTGATCAAGGGGAAGGGGCCCAGAGGGCCACACGGAGGGCCTTCTGCAGCCAGCAGGCCTGCCCCTGCTGGGAGCTGTGGCCTAAACAGGGACTGGACCCAGGCCGAGGGGGGATCTCGCAGCCAGTTCTGAAGCTGCATGCGTGTTCCACGGTTTAACCGCCAGGAAGCAGCTGTTCCCCTCCACTTGGTGGGGGCCTGACAGTGTTCCTGGGTCTGGGCAGTGCTCCCCCGACACGGCCTGCCCCTGGGGGGCTGCAGGTCTCCCTGTGCGGGTCATGCACCTGATGCCCAGCCCAGGCCAGCCCAGGTCACACACCTGACACCATCCTAGACTTCCCGGGAACCTGCCACTTTCTGAAGCTCTCCCCATCCTCCAAGGCCCAGCCCACCCCCGCACCACAGCCCCCCTTCCCTGTCACCCAACCCTCTAGGGCTGCCTCTCCTAGGAACCCAAGTGTGCCCTGTCTTGCCACCCTGTGGCTGGAAACCCGACCCTCTTCTGGGACTCCCGTGTGCTGAGCCCCAGGGGCTGACCCCCATCTGAGGCCCCTGCCTCAGGGCCCACTGCTTCGAGCCCAGTAGGGCTGGTCCGCCTGGGGAAACCCTCTGCTTTCCAGATAGTGGGAGCCACCCCCGTCCTCCCACCTTCTGGGTCCCACAGCAGAGAGACGAGTTGTCAAAGCGAGGTTGGGGTGCGTGGGGAAGGCAAAGGAAGCTGGGAGCCCCGAACCCCAAACATCCCATGCATCCTGTTACTGACCCTCCCCCTGCTAATGGAGGCTGGCCTTCCCATCCTCCGAAGCCTCGCCCAGACCTCACCTCCTCGTGTCCCTGCCCTTTCCCCCACATTCAATGGGTCCCATCGGCTGTGGCTTGAATTGTCCCTCCAAAGAGATACAGTGACACCCCAAGCCCTACATGTGAACGTGACTTGTGTGGGGAACAGCGTGCTTTGCAGATGTGGTCATT